GGTAAATAGTCGTAGTTACAATAATAAATAGAGACAGATGTTGAAGGGGAATATGACAATAAAGATGAGGAAACAGTCATGAACAATGTAAATAGTGTAAATAACACAATAACTCATAGAAATAGAGACAGATTTAATGAATATGACAAAAAAAAGATGGGGTCAACAGTCCGAACACAAATATTTTAAATCGTTACAATACCTCGTATCAAAAATAGAGACAGATGTTGAAGGTGAATATGAAAAAAGATGATTTGAACAATAACGAAATATATAAACCCAAAAATAGAGACAGATTTGAATATCAAAATTTGTTTTAAATTTCAAAAATAGCATTCTGTGTATAAAGTAAATAAGTTGTAGCTCATCCTTAAAATTGAGATCATGTTTGCGACCTATCAACAATGATATCTATCAACATAAAAAAAGAATCGACAGAGACGCCAGAGACTTTTTGCATATAAATTGTAAAACTACAACTGTAAATCCGAAAGCAATTGTTTGAAAAGTTCCAGCTAGTGAACATTTCTTGTCAGAATTTATATTATTACAATAGCTATTATGATGACTTTCTGAAGGACATAATCACGAAGGATGAGGAATGTGTGCACCGCATTATCCCGGAAACTAAGTTTGATGCCATGGCCAGGTATCAGCCATTGTCCTTGGCTCACATAACATCCGAAGTTTAGCAGTCTGAAAAGAAATTGATATTGACTGTTTTCTGAGATTCAAAAGGTGTTCTGCTTGTGGAGTTAATATCAAATGTCAAGCTATTGACTCAATTAGTCTAGTCTGAAACACTGGGCAGACTGAAAATTGTTTGTGCATAAAGATGTCATTCTGTTGCACAAGAATGTCACCCCCAAACACGACCAACGTTATAAAAACTGTAAGACATATTTTTTTCACGTTATGTATATTAATATATAACTGGACAGCAACCATTTTTAACATCGTTTGTTAAATATGGCTGACAAGGTTATTTTAATTAATTTTTTATTATATAGTTTTTCCAGTGTTCTTACGTTTTTTCCGTTTGGTGGGAGTTAAGGAGACAAAGATTTTCCATAATGTTCATTGTCTCAAGCGCCTTCTTCGCACTTCTTTAGCCATTTTCAAGGGCACATTTCATAGGGAATAAAGGCGTTAGTTAGATCCAGTGACAAGACCTAAAGAATCTGAGTTCGATAAACAATAAGGCGGTGGAGAACTTGGTGAGGGGAATTAACAGAAGATGACTGATAACTGACATCCATTAGACATGGCACGTGGAATTAGAACAGTCTACCCCAGCGAGCGAAATAAAGGGTTTTGTTTGACATTCCAACCACCTGAAGAAGGCCGGAACGTACAACGTCCGAAACGTTCTGATAAATATGGCAACAATGATGAGGACAATAGTCCGAATAATGTAAATAGTAGACACAGTATGTTAATCTCTTTATATTTCACTTTATCTACATTTTTTTTTTGCATTCATGCGTGTTCCTCCTCGTTATCTGTGTGTGTGTGTGTGTGTGTGTGTGAAAGAGAGAGAGAAAGAGAGACAGCGAGAGAGTAAGATATTGCTTGCTACGAATAATAGTAATAATGAGTGCAGCTTATTTTCTGTAGTCAGTATTAATGTTAAACCAGGTGAAAATTACTGAATTTATGGTTAAGCAAATTGGCAGAATACAATATTTGCCACAAAATTGTAATACATTCATATACTTGTAAAATATGTGTTATCTTTATAATATAAGCATTGGCGTTTTGTAATTATATATATCTCACTGACAGATAGCTGGGTTAACGAGAAAATTGTTTTCTTTGTAAGAGTAACACCGCATTTAACAAAACAAAAACAATCTGCTCTCGTCGAAGAGTACTCAGATGTTTTCCTTTCTTGCTGACTGGAAAATTACGACTCCTGGCAAAAAATGGATGCCTAACACTTAGGTATTCATCTTTTTTATTTCGAGGACGGCAAAAAATCACGGTAGGTATGAAAAAATACGTTTTAAATGTAGGGCATTCTAACTTCAAGAAATATACATGAATTAAATTAGATTAATTTATTTTAACTAATTAGACAACTTTCCAAGATTAATTAGATGTAAATAAAATGTGTGAAAAATCTCTATATATATAAACATACATTTAGTCAAAACATTGTCAACAAAAACTCTTCGAACACGGGCTTACGTCCACATCACGTTGAAATACCAGTTCACCTACGATTACCGAAGTTAAGCAATTTCAAGACTGGTTAATAGGTCAGTACTTAAATGGGTGACCACTGGGAAATATCAGGTGCGATAAGCTTAGACGTGGGATATAAAGAGAAAAGTGGGCATAGAGGTCAGCAGCCAGTGGCCACAGCCTGTTTCATGCTTAAACGCAATCTTCAGGTCATGTTAACTCAAGGCCGGAAGACTTTGTTTAAGAATGGAATAGTTTATTGTCTCTGGGTTTAACCTCCACGCCCCTTTAGTATTCATATTTACATACGTACTATTCCTGATATTGAGCCCTAACCCATAAATATAGCATACCTTAAAAATATAGATTTTATCTCCCTCCCATCTATATATATATATATATATATATATATATATATATATGTGTGTGTGTGTGTGTGTTAAAATGTGTGTGTGTAAGCTATGATTATTCACACCCTGAAGATACATAGTACAAAAATACATTGAAATACTTCCGGCCCCACTAAAAGTGCATTCCAATAGACATTCTGATATTTGGTTATTTGGTGAGATTTCGTGAAGTAGGTCATAAGACTGATGATTTCAGTGAATATATATATATATATATATATATATGTGCATAATTTTTCTCGTAATTTATTCCCATCTATCTATCTAAATAATCTTCTTCCTTCTCCGCCTCCTTGTGATGCCCCAGGTGCAGCTCATAGCTACATTACTATCCTCTATAGCCGTTGACTAATCGATTTTCATAGTATCTGAATCTCTCCAGGAAAACAAATAGTTTTAATAAGGCACGTAATTATTCTAATCTTTCCCGTCTCAATCATTGTCGCCCTACTTTTATCCAGCACTGATCCTATGAATGCCAAGTATATAACAATGGCTATAATTATATACATTTGCGTAAGCATCTCTCGATTTCTCTTTTTATTTATCTCTGGCCTTATATTTTCCTCGTTGTATTAGAGACACCCGACAAATACGCAGCGTCATTCATCTTATCTTTAAAATTTCAATTCGAAATTTCGATTCAAACCGTGATAGAACATTTCAGAAATTTCTAGAGTCTCTGCGAGCCAAACATCCTGATAAATTTCTATTGAGAAAATAGTTAAAAGAAGAGTTAAATGTGGCGGAAAATGCCATTAGCTTTTATCGAAATATACCATTATTTTAAAAATTAAATCGTCATAAGTTGTCTCTCATAATTGTTATTTCCCAATGTAGGAATACTAAAATTAGTAGCATTTATAGAATTTATAGAAGTGACTTTCAGTAAAGTAGGAAGTGGTATTTAAACATGAATTGTTAAAACGATAGATATTTTGTGTCTATTATATTTAATGATCATTTTCTTATTATATGAATATCCTCTTGCAAATACGGTTGTTGACAACGCTTCTATAAACACAACAAGAATTACAATATGAAAGATCACTTTTCTAATATTGGTAGAATAATTTATAAGTTTAATTATAAAAAAAAACTAAAGAAGCTATTTACATCTAACTTAAGCAATCCAACATAAATAAAAGTTACTTTTCAGATTCCACACTGTTGAATGATTTAAAAAATTATTCCAGGTACATTATTTACTATTCTAACCAGGTTATTACACGTTTCCATCACATGACTTACTGCGTCAAGCTGTACGTGATTTAACTTTCAAAAAAATAATAATGCTCCAACTTACTTGTTGAAACATTAAATTTTCTTTCCCCATCCCCACCCCCGATTAGGTAAGTAATATTTCCCTCGTCTCCCCCCTGGGACGTGATGTTACACAAGGTCGGGCTTAGTGTGGGGAACCCGAGCGCATACACCCGGGCCAAGGCAAAAATTGCCCTCTCCTCACAAACGTCGCTTGTCCTGGCCTCGGTAGCGACTACCGATCTCCCACTTCTCTAGTACAATGCGGGCATTTCATGCAGCTGTTCCACGGGCTTAGGCATCTCGCAGTATTTATATTCCTCAGTTGCATTTCTGTCCGCAGACAGAACCATAACTGAGTCGCACTCTGCCCGAAGAGAGAGACACAACTGAGAGATAATAAACCTTAACTGGCATGTGTCAGATAAGTAGGACTCAAGTGAGTTGCAAGTATGGAACAACATATGAATTTTAACCAATTTATCCACACAAAAGGATATTTATTTCCAAAAGGATATTTTTATCCAAAAGGATATTTGTATATTAGAAAAAAGATCAAGAAATATAATAAAAAAAAATAGACACATGTTTAAAAGAAATAAGTTCAGTGTATTGGGGCTGCAGATTATTATTCAAACATATATTGTTAAATATAACAGACAACTAATATCTATTATGTTTGATCATAAGCCGTTCTAAGCGTCGTATAGTGGTTTTAGTTACGGGGGAAAATAAAGACAAAAACTGTCCAACAGTTGGATATTTTTTGAATTATGCTGGTCCTCAATCTAAGCTTTCGGTTCACATGAGCCATCATCAGATGAGTTTGTGCAGTTTCACATAGTAATAGTAATCAAACGGATTAATAAATTGATTGATTGATTTGATTTTTACGGCTAATAAACCTTTTGCTGATTATTTAAAGCCAAAAAATCTTTTTAGATTGTAAGAATATATTTGAGAGAATGAGTTACTGATACACGTCCTACTAATTAAACCATAGCTGGTGGGAATAGAAGAGTTAGATACATACTTTTTTCAAGGGTATTTGCGCGTAAGTAATACAAAGAACCCAACTGGAATTAGAACTCGGCACTCCGATTTCTAATTCCGAGCCATTACACCATCCGCGCATCCAAGCTTACAGTACCTAGTATTCCCAAGCGGTCACCCATCTAGGTAGTGGCCTGGCTCGACGTTGCTTAACTATCGTTATCATAGCGGAACTGGTGTATCAACGTGATATAGGTCTATGCCGATAAATTATTATGCTGCAGAAAAATCCATATGGTTTATCCATTTTCGGTTTTATATCAATGTAATAAAAGAATACGTTTTCGAAAGACTTGTTCATCCCCCCCCCCATACATACACACCAAAAAATATCCATGATTTTCTATTGTATCGGATCTTTCTCCTTTTCACCAAATATTCGCTCTGGCTAAATCTTGTCGTAAAATAGACATTAGATGTTATTTATCATATAAATATATTTGATTCCCCCACCGCTGTGAATGTAATTTTAAATCAGTTATGATTAATAAGCTAGTTGGTGAAAACAGCCAACATGTTTCGACACTGTCTATAGAGATCTTAAATTTTTCTTCTGATAAGTTTTAACCATCGTAATAATGATCTTGGTGTACAGGTCATATGTTGGTAAGTATGAAACAGTTAAGGCAATGAACAGGAAGATTTCACTCGGTGAGAAACAGAAATCGCCACATAAATCGCAAGTGCCTATTTCATTCAGAACATGGAGGATCATGAGCCCTGTACAATGTCATATTTTTGTAGATCTTAGTAAAGTTTCTTTTCAGCATCACTTTCAATCCATGCTCTGCAATCCATATACACAAGATCTTTATGTAATTTACTCTCTGCTTTATTCATGCCTTTAATAAGTACTATGTGTTTCAATTCTCCAAGCCCTCTGTCCTGATTATGTGTCGTAGAAATTGCATTTCTATTCTCCTTAAAACCTTATGTCGAACCGCATATTTGTTGCTTCAAATCTCTGCTTTGTGAGGACATTGTCCAGCATCCACTGCTATATTACACAACAGTATTCTTTTCTTTGTTGCTAATGAAATTTTCAATTCACTTTCGGATTTGTATGTCATATCTTCCATTCTGTTTTATAAAAAAAAACTTCCAAGATATTTAAAGGCTTGAATTTCCTTGATTTTGACATCTCCAGTTCGCAATTCTCATCTTGGGTTGTTACTCTTGCTGACAACAATGCATTGTCTTCTTACAAGTGATGTATAGTCCTTTTTTCTCACTTTCATTTACAACCTTCTCTAGGAGATTCTAGAGTCCTCATTTCGGTTCTGCTATCAACACTGTTATCTGAATATCTTATGTTCTTAAGATTGTATCCGCTAATAACGAATCATAGTAGGACTTCTAGTTCTCTCGGGATAGCCTTGATGTAAATGTTGAATAAGTCTGGCGAGAAGTCATATTTATAACTTATTTCTCTTTGTAGCAAGTTCTCTTGTATTTACTGAATTCATTTTCTATCAGTATGCAGGCAGTTTGATCTTAGTATAAGTTTTGATTTGTTTGAATATCCTTCTAAGATAAAATTTTCGTAGAATTTCAAACAATTCTTTGTGCCTTATCTTATCAAAAGCTTCTGCATAATCTATAAATCATAGGTATACATCCTACTGCATTTCTAGTGTTCGTACTGATGTTCTGAGCATAAATATCGTATTCATTGTTCCAGTGTCTTTGCAGGAATCTCACTGTTTGTATGAAAGTTTTGATCTATTGCTGTTTGGCATTCATCAGAATTCGGAAGGTAAGTTTTATTACGTGGTTCATTAGGCTGATTGTCTAATGGCGTTCGCATACATTTGCACCTGGCTTCTTTTTAGTAGATCCCTGAAGTCTTCCGGTATATCACCATTGTTGTATTTGTATCAATGCTGAAATTGTCTAAAGCTACCAGCATCTCTATTACAATCCCATTCATTGCTATATTCCTGTTCATTTTAACTATTGCTGATATCACTTCATACTTTCATATTCCATATTCGTGTATTGTAGGTTTTCCTTTTTCGTCGTGGGAGAGTTCTTCGACGTATTCGTTCCATTTTTGAAGTATTTTTTTTTTTTCATTTTTCATTCCCTCTTTTGATTGTATCCTTCCTCCCTTCCGCGAGTAAATCGTTTATTGTATATTTCTTTTTATTCTTTCAACTGTCTTATATATGATGATCACTCTTTCTATTTATGATGATCATTCATTCTATTTATGATGATTATTTATTCTATTTATGATGATTATTTATTCTATCTATGATGATCATTCATTCTATTTATGATGATTATTTTAGCTGAGCACACGTTTATTCCGTCATTTCTCTTTTTCCTGTCCGCATTCGTTTTTATTTACTTGTAATTTATTACATTCTGTACCATATTTTGGTATTGTATTTCATCTCCTATTCATGATGTTGAAAATTTAATCTAATTTTCACTTTTTTCCTTGTCTAGTTATTCTTGGGAGGATCTAGTTTGCTGATGCCACTAAAGCTTCTCTTAATTTGTCCTTCTTTGCATTTTTGTTCTTATTTAGTTCACTGTATTTGCTTTTATCGCAGTCAGTATAAATCTCTTTTGATCATTCGGGAGTTTGTCTCATTGCAATTTGGTTCCTGCCTTGTCTTTCTTTAATTTCCTTAGGTCTGTTGAGATTATATATAACCGGAATGTACTAATTCCTCAACAGTCAGCACTTAGATAAAATTTTATAGTATAAACCTAAATTTCCGAAACTCTTATTGATCTTTATGTGGTCGATCTGGTTTTGCGTTTCTTCTCCTGGGTCACTCAAAAACAGATTCTTTTAGAATTTTACATTTTTCTTTTCAACTTAGAGACGATATGTATTTTGTTTATCATTAATTTGCGTTTTTACTAGTGCTTAGGTTAAGTAATTTCACCATCCGCCAAGAGTACAATGGATATAAATGTAATCATTTTTTTAACGTTCAAGTTTCTTTAGATTGACCTAAACTTTCTGATTAAACGAATCTGAAGAGTGTTTATACATTTTATGGTAAATGTTAACATGAAAACAATCAAGGTAATGGGTTTCTTTGAGTTTAAAAATAATAAAAAAGTTCGTTTGGAAGTGTATTATTCCGAATACGTATTCTTTTCTTTAACAGACAACATATAAGAGGCGGGAGACATATAGACATAGATATATAAACATATTGATATAGATAGATATCTATATCTAGATATAAATAGATATCTTTAGATATCTATAGATAGATAGATAACTATAGATATATAGATATAGATAGATATCTAGATATAGACACTCATAGATATCTAAATATATATATATATTTAGAAATATATATATATATATATATATATATATATATATATATATTTAGATAGATATAGATAGATAGATAGAAAGATACAGAGTTATAGATATATGTATATAGATAGATAGATAGATAGATAGATAGAGATAGGTTGATATAGAGATATATAGATAAATATAGATTAGGTTGATATAGAGATATATCTGAAATAGATATAGTGAAGATAGATAATTATTATATATATATATATAGGTCTGCTCTACGGTTGTATTGAGCTCTTTTGTTAGTTAGTTGTTTACTCGTATCGAGGTTTTATATATATATATATATATATATATACGATGGTCATTCAATAAATAAGGTGAAGTTTTCGGTATAAGAACTTCTAATACAGATAGAAGCTTACTTTTTTTTATTTTTCAACGCAGTCTCCCGGCACTGTCACACACTTGTCCCATCTGTGCACAAGCTTCCGTATTCCCTCAGCGTAAAAATCTTTGGACTGATGACTCTCAGCCAGTCGCTCACAACACTTTTGACTTCATCGTCACTTTTAAACCTCGTGCCTCCGTGAACGCTTTCAAGGGACCAAACAAGGAAAAGTCTGAAGGGGCAAGGTCTGAGCTGTAAGGGGATGAGGGAGCAGTTCCCAGCCCAGCTCGTTGATGATCTGCAACGTTTGGGCTGCTGTGTGAGGCCTTGCGTTGTCATGAGGCAAGATGACTCCTTCTGACTGATGACCCCTGCGTTTGTTCTTTATGTCTTTCTTGACCTGCCTCAGCAGTTCACAGTAGTTCTTCTGTCAGACTGAATGAGGTCATTGACTGATTCGATCACCTCAGGAGATTTCACTTCTGTAGGCCTCCCCAGGCCTGTCTTCATCCTCAACACTGCTCCGTCCTTCTTTAAAACAATTTAGCCCACTTGTAGACATTTTTTGGCTGAAACATGTGGCACCATACACAGTTGACATTCTCCTATGAATTTCAACTGGTTTGCACCCTTCAGCAACCAAAAACTTGATAACTGACCGCTGTTCAATCCTGAGCATGCTTCTTGGTCATCTTTGTTATCTTGTTAAGTTTTTTTTTAATCTGCAAAAGAAATTAAATCCATGTGAAAAGAAGTAAAACAAAAAAAAAAAAAAAAAAAAAGTAAACTTCTATCTGTATTAGAAGTCCTTATACCGAAAAACATTCACCTTTTTTATTGAATGACCCTCGTATATATACACAGAATATGAATAATATATATATATATATATATATATATATATATATATATATATATATATATATATATATGTATTATATAAATGGACAAAGTCCGACAATTATTTTTAAGACATTTTTTTATGTTTATACGTTCTTTTTATAGATACAAATATTTAAGTAAATGCTTTGTTTATAATAAACAGTATAAACGACATTTACCGGCCTAAATGTCCGAGAAATTTTCATAGAAAATATGCTTTCTCCGACAGGAATTGAACCTGTATCCTATACGGAACCGTCATATAGCCTGACGTGCCTTAACCGATTGAGCCACAGAAGAGCTTTTCTGTTAACAAGTTCGATTTTACTACCATTCTCCATGATTTTCTGTCGCACATTCATATCTCCTCGATGCGTATTCAAATGTAAACAATGTAAAACAGGTTATATGACGGTGCCGTATAGGATGCAGGTTCGATTCCTGTTGAAAATTTCGCGGCCATTCAGGCCGGTAAATTTCGTTAATACTGTTTATTAAAACAGAACATTTACTTAAGAATTTGTATCAATAAAAAGAACGTATAAATATAAAAAATGTCTTATATATATATATATACATATATATATATATATATATATAGAGAGAGAGAGAGATAGATATATAAATATATTTACA